ACAACCAGGATCCTCAGATCTCAGCCTCCTGAATAGCTAGGATTGCAGCTGTGAGCTACTGGTGCCTGGCAGGGCCTGTCTTTTTATTTAACTATGCTCAGAAAAAACAACACAGGCTAACAGATTTCAAATCTTCCTTTGGATCACTTAAACATATTTTACCCCAATGTAGTGTGGTAAAATATGCATGATATAAATTTACCATCTTAACTATTTTAAATGTACAGTTCAGTGGTATTAATTACATTCATAATGTTGCACAATCATTCATCCATCTCCATAATTCATCTTATGAAACTAAAATTCCATACCCACTAAATAGCTTCCCATTGTTTCCTCCATACAGCCCTGACAACCATTGTACTTTCTGTCTCTATGATCATGACTATTTCAAGCGTATTATGAAAATAAAATCTTACAGTTTTTGTCTTCTCATTAGATAGGCTTATTATTTCAATTAGCTTAATGTTTTCAAGGCTCACTGACATCAGAATTTTCTTCCTTTAAGGCTAGTATTTCATTGTATACACAAAACATATTTTACTCATTCATCAGTGGACATTAGGGTTGCTTTTACCTCTTTGCTATTGTTGAATCATGCTTCTATGAATAAAAGTGGGCATATATCACTTTGAAATCCTGCTTGAATTCTTTTGAGTGTGTATTCTTTTGTGTTGTAACACAGTAATTTGGTTAATTTTTTGAGGAATTGTAATAATCTTCTAGAACAGCTGTATCATTTTACATTCCCATTAAAAGTGAAAAAGAGATAAACAACTTTATATTTTCACAAATGGTACGTAAAAATTCCTAGTATGATTTAACCCAACTATTGCTATTAATAAGTAGCCAAGGAGGGGAGACATGCTGAAACAACTTATTCCAGCTATTTCATTTGCTTAGAATGATTTATTTTATGTATTAGCTTGGCTGAGCCACAGCATCTAGACATTGATAAAATATTCTGGATATTTTTGTGCAGCTACATATGAACAAAATTAATGTTTAAATCAGTGGACTTTGAGTATAAAAGATTAGTCTCCTGCTATTTCAAACCCAGAAGTCTGTATGTTAAATGATCAGCCCAAGTATAGAACTTTGAGAGAGGTAGTGGCAATTTTAAGAGGTGAGGGAGTAATGGAAAGTCATTAGATCATTGAGAGATAGGTCTATGAAGGTTGGGAAGCTATCATATCCTTATCTTGTTCCTCTTTTGCTCCCCAGATTGTGGTATACAGATTTTATTCTACCATTCATTAGCTGTCACTGACATCTGATGCCTCTTCCATCAGAGGCTCAAAGTGGTAAGGCCAATCAGTCATGGATTGGAGGCTCCCAAATCATAAGCCTTTTTTGCTTAAGAAGTTAAAGGTCTCATGTATTTTATTATAATATTTCTAAGTTGACTAATATACCTGTTTAGTGTGAGCAGGCCTCATACAATCAATTGAAGGACCTAACAAAGACTGACTTTCTATAATTAAAAGGAATTCTACCAGCAGATTTTGGACTTAAACTTTGGATTTAAGCTCTTACCTGGGTCTCTAGCAGGAGTCTACTCTATGGGTCTTGGACCAAATCTCCAAAAATGGTATGAGCCAGTTTCTTAAAATAAGTTGCTTTATCTCTAACTACACATATCCAGTTGGTTCTGTTTCTTTAGAGAACAATGATACAAACAATAATACAAGGGCAGACTATTAGTCAAACTATTTTTCATGCCCAAGGACAGAAATAAAAGAAGAAAAAGGGAAGTATAAAGCTAATCAAACAAGAAAATACCTATATATACACTCTTATTACCATTCTGGGCTAAAAATATTTCCAGAATTAATGAATTTCTATTTCCCGCCAAGAATAACAAATACTATTTGACTAGGTAAATCTTTATTTAATAAGGCTAATTTTAAAACTCAACTGCATGTTAAATAATTTCATATCTATATCAGTATTCTTAATTAAAAACATGGTTATATTGAACAAAAAGTACAGTAACATCCTGGGATATTAAGTGCTGTTTCCAAAATGTGTGTATATCAATTACCTACTACAAGAATCAAGTTTTTTGTAGCAAGACAAGACCTCAACCAACTGATTTAATTCACAGCACTAGAAACTTACTAAGATCAGTTAAAGTCATTCTTGCCACAATTTATACTTAACCCTGCAAATGACATAATGAACTATTAAATTTATTTGTTTTTCAGCCGGGCACCGGTGGCTCACGCCTATAATCCTAGCTACTCAGGAGGCTAAGATCTAAGGATCATGGCTCAAAGCCAGCCAGGACAGGAAACTCCATGAGACTCTTAGCTCCAATAAACCACTAGAAAACCAGAAGTGGTGCTATGGCTCAAGCAGTAGAGCACTCGCCTTGAGCTAAAGATCACAGGGAAAGCGCACCCAGGACCAACAACAACAACAACAAAATTATTTGTTCTGATTAGGTAACTTTCATCTCAAATAATATTTAAGAAGATAAATTTTAAAACTTAGATAGATCTTAAACAATGTTCCTGAAAGTAAATATCATATTCCTACATGTATTAGTATTATATATAGTTTTTAAAAAACTATGTAATACAAAACTCTTAAGTGTAACATTTAGCTGGCAGAAAGACGTTCACATTTTGTTAAAAATGAGTCTTTCCTTTAGAGACAAATTCTTGGCACCAAATAGCTGGTATTGTAGCTGTGGCTCAAGTGGTTGAACACCAGCCTTGAGCAAAAAAAAAAAAAAAAAACCTAAAGGACAATGCTCAGACTCTTGAGGTCAAGCCCCAATACCTTCATAAAAAACAAAAACAAGCTCAGGCCTGTAATCCTAGCTACTCAAGAGGCAGAGATTTGAGGATCTCGGTTGATATCCAATCCTCGGCAGGAAAGTCCATGAGACTCTTATCACCAATTAACTACCAAAAAGCTAGATGTGGACCCATGGCTCAAATGGTAGAGTGCTACTCTTGAATAAACATTATATGATCATTCAGAAAATGGTTCAGATAGAAAATTAGTCAGATTGCATGGCACATAAAGAGGAATAGTGGTATGGGAAGGGATGCTTCTTCACTAAAGAACATGTTTCAGAATTGCCAACATAGAATGATGACAAAAAGTAGTAATTTTTAATATGCTTTTATTATTTTTTAAAAATCATCCAGAGACAATGGATTTTTGTTACCTATATTTAAAGTGCTCTTATGTTCCAGAAGATCTCAACCTCTAAAAGAAACTTCTACAATGAGCTATTCTCTATTATCACAATTTCAAAGAAAATGTGAGCTATATCAATATAAAGAGCTTCATCTAAAGAGAAAAAATAGGCTATTTTTACTGATTAACCATAAGTATCTTTTACATGAAAAAAATTACATAAAAATTACACAGAGGTATCTTAGCACAACTGAATGAATATGTTGAGGGGAGAGGATGTCCTTTATTAGCTACAGAGGTTTTTTACTTTTTTTCCCATTGCTGAATTTTTTTAATTTAATTTTTTCCTTTTTTTTTTTTTTACAGAGGGCTACAGTTACATGAATCATGTAATGAGTAATGAGTACAATTCTTATTGAACCATGTTTCCCCTTGCGTTGCTCTCTACCAGTTTTTCCCTCAGTCCCCACCCACAAAATATCCAGTTCATTTCCTAAGTGGTATCCAAGTGAGCGCCAAGAATTGTTTGGAATTTTTTTTTAAACTTTTCTTTTGTCTTTTCTTTTTGGGTGGCAGGAATCAAACTTGCTAGGCAAAAGCTTTGCCACTGAGCTATATCCCAGACCTTTTCTTTCTATATTATTATTTAGTTATAACAAGGAGTGTATAATTCAGTAAGACAAGTTGTAAGTATAATGCTTCTTGGTGAATGGTACCCCTTCCTTCATTCTCTCCCGTTTTCCATCCCTATCCTTGGGCTTTTATTCTTTTACAAGTCATAAAAAAGCTGCAGCTCAAAAGTAAAAATGGTTTACTTAACATGACTCTCAACACTTGAATTTATTTTCAGCTTCATAAAATGCCAAAATATTTGTCTTCTGTGTTTTGTAAATCTACTGTTTGTAGGTAAAATATTCTACTTTGATTGAAAATAAAAATGATTCATCCAAATTTCTGCTATTACTAGTCCTAATCTATATGCTTTATAGGTATGAAGACTAGAAGTAAGATAACTACTATTACATTCATGTCAAGGAGACTCATGGAAACTAGATTAGAGGTAGAAACTGTAACTGGAACAACTTATCTGGCTCGGATCAGCTCCCCTGCAAGTCTCTGGGATTTTTCTATGTGCACATGTGGTTAGAGGCAAGATTGTTGTTACTCCTGGCATAGTGTATCTAATCTTTTTAAAGTACAAATGATGCTATAAACATCACTGTAGTTACTAACTTAACAAAGAAAATCATAAAAGCACAACGTAATTATGCAATAAGCAAGCAATCGCAGTCATACTATTTTGTCATTTAAAAATAACAAAACCAATTTCTAAAGTCTCTAAAATTTTTAAAATAGAATGTATCTGAACATGGCAAAATTCTTAATAGAACATTTCAATTATATTAGCAAAGGTTTATTGGCTAACAGGCTGTTACTAATAAAACTGCATTTTAAAAATAAGCAGATTAAATTAATATTTTCCTTTTCTACTAGTATGCAGTAGGTGCCAAAGTTATTTTCAAGTTATTTATAAACATTAACTTCTAGTGGTTTTCTGGCACCTAATAGCAAATTTTAAATAAGCCAATGCTTCTTTTATGAACTAGAAAGGAAAACAAAGCTTAGGAAAACAATTGTCTTCTTTCACCTTGCAGTAGTGACCAGCTAGTACACGGGGTACATTATATAAAAGGCATAATGATATGCCATGTTTAAGATTATAGAACTCAAACCGCACTACATAAGGTCTGTAGACCTACTTATAGTACTGATGCCTACAGACAAATAGGAAAACGTACAAAAATAAATGCATTTTTCTAGTTGAACAGAGGTATAGATCAACTTACCAAATCCCTGTGCAACACCCAGTTAGCATGCAGGTAGTGAATTCCATCTAGGATCTGATACAATAGTGACTTCACCATTCCCCGAGGCAACTGAACTGGCTTCTTGTTTGCTTTAGAGGCTCTGTGAAACTTGATTATATGCTGAAAGAGAAAATATTTCCAGACTCTTAAAAAAGAAGAAAGATAATCTAGATACTCTGAATATTCTTAACAGGAAACACAGACACACACACACAAACTTGCAAGGTGTGCAAGGTGACTCCCCAAAGGTAATGTAATTTCATTGTTCTGAATAACCTTATTTGGAAAATAAAAGGTGAAAATAAAGACACAGGAAAACTATTAAACTATACAACTATTAAACTATATAAGTTTAATTACTTTTGGAGTATACTTGAATTTTCAGGAACAGAATCATTTTTTATTCTCTAACATTTAAATGGAAAGGAAAAAAAAGAACAAAGTTAAAGAGATACTTCTGGCTGGCTAACAGACAGCATAGTTGTGATACCTATTATGGCACAGAAAATATTTCCATAAAATATACATACACACAAAGAAATGTTAACAAGTAAAATGACCAATACATCTGGTATATTTAGAAATGTTAAAGGTTCAAATAAAATATAAATTGGTATCATTTATCAAAGCTTTCTCTATGCTGTTACTATACATTTGATAAAACCAAGTACATTACTTTTTTAAATTACTTTAGAAATAAATGTATATAAAAATGTTAAAAGTTTCAAACCTTCCTGACAGGCTTCTGCATTTTAATTAAAACACTCTTAACCTTCAGTGAAATCAAAGTCAACTATGCGTTGTATATTATGCCTATTATATATATCTGACACCAAATACTGAACTGAGCAGACTTGACCAATATTTATAAAGTGTACATTATGTATATTCTTGTAATTAATGAAAATAAAAAACAAGATATATTTAACAATATAGATTAACATTTTCCTTCATAGAATGTCACATAAGTAAAAAATAAACCACTCAAAAATCAATGAAGGAGATTTTCCTTTTTTTGGAGGGGGGGGGGGTCCGGTCGTGGGGCCTGAACTCTGGGCCTGGGCGCTGTCCCTCAGCTCTTCAGCTCAAGGCTAGTGCTCTACCACTTGAGCCACAGCGCCACTTCCAACATTTTCTGTTTATGTGGTGCTAAGGAATCGAACCCAGGGCCTCATGTATGCAAGGCAAGCATTCTACCACTGGGCCACCTTCCCAACCCAATTTATATTTTAATAGCAATATTATGCTACTTTATTTTTTCTTTTCAAGGTTTTCCTCTACTTATTTTTTTTACTTATGCCAGTACTACAGTTTGCATCAGGGTGTCACACTTGTTAGGCAAGCATTTTAACACTTCAAGCATACTCCTAGCACACCAGGATTACAGGCATGAGACACCACACCAGGCTCTTTTCAGTCTTTTTCTTCAAGATATTTAATAGGTAACAAAACAGCTGCAGTGACCCAATAATTTAGAATTGTTTTAACTTGTCCTAGAATATGATATTATAATCAAGTCTGTTAACCACAACAAAACTACTAGACTGTAGAGTACACACACACTAAGAAGAATTTCATTAGAAAGAACAAAATAAAAATTTTTGTATGAGGAAGATTACACATTTCTTCAGATTATACTTTCATTAGAGTATTGAAAACACAAACACACATGCACATACACAAAATAAAACAAGGCAAAATATAATAAAGTCTAAAAAAAAAACACCTAGGAAGCTCAATGTTTAATCGTAGCTTCTTGGAAACTTTTTGAGAGGAATTGCTGTTTGAAGTCAACTTGGGTAAAAACGAAATGTATAAAACCTCCAAGTCAACCAAATAAAAAGCTGGGCACAGTGGTATGTACCTATCATCCCAGCTAAGCAGGAAGCATAAATACATAGGATGGTTACTATCCAGGCTAGTCCAGGTATAAATGTGAGATCCAATTGCTAAATTAACAAAAATCCAAAAGGACTAAAGAGGAGGATTGACTCAAGTAGTAAAACATCTACCTATCATGTGCAAGATCCTGAATTCCAATCCCAGTACCATCAAAACATAAAACAAAAACAACTATAATGGTGAATTTCTTATCTTCATTTTCTTTCTATTCCAGAGCTATGTAAGATATACATGGTTTGCATTCTGTGAAATCTCACCTACATCCAACTGACTCTACAATAATTCTTTCCTTGCAACTACTTTGTTACCCAGGAAATTCATTTTAACATAGAAAATTTAAAGAGAAAATGAAACAAAAGTGTATGTTATAATAAATGGAATTATCATTTTATGAAAACAAGAAAAACACTCTGGCAATAAAGCCAAAGGTATCAATGCAAAAAGATAGTGCAAAAACTGTATGTGCAATATAGTTTGCCGAAGTAAAATCACTAAACCTATATATAAAACTAAATATTATACATTATCCTGTTAGAAATCATATTAAATGCATTATTTATTTCCTGTGCTCTAAGATGGCTTATTATAAATATTTTAGGCAAAATTTGTTTTAATTTTGGATTTTATGATTGTATTCTGTGCTAGAGTCAATACAGAGAGAGTGTAATTCAATACTGGCCACCTGATTTAGCAAATATTTTCTTAACAGTAGCCCTATTTGTTTGCTGTATTTCTTTTAAAATAAACATATCTTCAAAATTTTCTATTTATTTATTTTATTTAGCTATTTGTTGTCAGTCCTGGAGCTTGAATGCAGGGCCTGGGTACTGTCCTTGAGATCACTGGTGCCTAACTTCTTTTTTCATTTTTATGTTTTTACTTTTGGCAACACTGGAGTCTGAATCAGTGGATTTCACTTTTTAGGCAAGTACTTGTTAGACAAGTTAATGCCTGTTCCCCACCAAAAAAAAAAAAAGAAAGAAAGAAAAGAAAAGGAAAAAAAAAGAATTTATAACAACCACAAACCATGGACAATAGTTTCATAAAACTGATAAAAGAATGTGATTCTATGTCCAATAAGTCAAGAAAATGGGTAAGTAAAAATAATTCTTACAAATCTCAAAGCAAATAAAATTCAGGTAAGTTTCAGTTCCAAATATCTGTTACAATTAAAATCATCTATAGGAGGCAAATTCTTCAAGTTAGAGCAACCATTTGGAAAACTATATTCAGAAGTGAATTTTTCACTTTGAAAGTTGTACTGGTATCTGCACTAGTTTATTTAAAAAGGCTTTCATATTTGTGCTTAAAGGCCCCAGGCTAAATAACAATAATATCTTGAAAACTTTTGAAAATTTCATAACATTATGATCATAGCATTGTTTTTTCTTTAACTTAATAAAAGTTTAGCTTTGCCAATATATGAACTGTAGAACTGTAAAACACTGAAATAAGATAGTTTATGGGAGTAAAATAAATACTAATAAATTAATGTAACATAGTAGTGTTTGTATTTCAACTATTTGGACAAGATATTAAAATCTTTACTTTGTAATATTTTTTATCATTATGTTAGCTAACCCAAATAGTTGTTATGGCTTTGATTTTGGGTTTGAATTCCTAAAAATGTTCTTATCATAGGCCAGACAAAAAAAATATCTAAAAGCCACAGGAAACATTAGAATCTATTTGCACATTAATTTCATTTGTGGGAGGGCTTTTATCCATATGATTTTTTTCCTCTGCAACAGTAAACCAATTCAAATAATAAAACATTCTATTACTGCTGCTGATACTTTAGTAACTGAAAAGTACATTACAACATCAGGTATCATTTGTGAATGATACTTGGATTAGAAATAGTTTCCTACATTTCTTAGTTTCTTACATTTATACTATTTGTCTACAAAACTTTCCAACTACAAAAATTATTCAAAAAGACAAAGTATTACATTTTACAAATGGAAAAAAACCACAGCTTCACCATCATTAAGAGACTTGCCTGGTATCATGACAACAGATACAACTATTAGATCGCAGTCTAGAATTTTATAACACATTCATCTTCCTATATAAGTATACTACCTTCTCATTTTAAATCCCATTATACTACACAATAAAAGGAAATGTTACTTATGGTTACTTTAATTTAAAAAAATCTCTATGAAACTGTATCTTATAGTTGTTGTCATTTTTCAGAGTCTTGTTTTCAATGATATCAAAGGTCCAACTGTCAGGATCAAAAAGTAATACTGAAAAGGAGCAGGATAGCAGGTTTAAAATAGCAACTTCCATTTTTACTTTGTAAATGAGAAAAATGCAGTCACACACTGTGACCAGATTCAGAAGAGGAAGAGTAGAAGAAAAGATAAACTACAAAGTATTCAAGAAGACCCAAGAATTTATAGAAATGCAAACATAACAGAAGAAAAGCAACAAGTGTCCTGTACCAGTATCCAGATCTCCTGGCTGGGGAGAAGAATCTAAAGTTTGCAATAACAGGTAAAAACAGATGGTCCCACCAAGGGACCAAATTCAGCTAAAAAGAAAAGTAAATATAACCTGAAAGACTTACTGCCAGCAGGGAGTTGAAAGCTGGGACTAATCTGATGTGAGAAACTGGACAGTGGGAGAACTAAGACATTCTTCATGACCTTCTTATTCCTGAGTGACACAGCTGCCCTTCTTTACCTTGAGGAAGTTTCTTTGGAAGTCCAAGGTCAAGAAATAATCACTGCTTAACAACCACAGGACATCCTTCAGTTAATTAAAACTTGGATATCTATCAGTTATAAGAGACATGTAAAGACAGGTCAAATGGGAGGCCAGAAATAGAAAATAAAAAACAAAAACAACAACAAAAAAGTAAGCTGCAGGAAGGTACACTGCAGTCCTGAAGGCTGAGTATGCAGAACCCAGTGGTGAGCTTCTGTACTGAGACAGAGGATTGGGAATTCCCACTGAACAACTGAGCAAAGGGACCTGGTAGTAACTGGTAAGTACCACACTAGAAAAAACTGCACTTTCTCAAAAATATAGTACACACATGGGGCCATACTGCTAGACTACAGAAGCTCATAAAACATCTGGCACAGCCCACCATTAAATAAAGACAAACTTTACACTCTATGTAGCTTAGCAGCTCTGGACTCCCTGCTGTTTCAGAGCAATCAGTGTGAAAGTCCAAAGATCCATTTCTCAGGTGAGATCTGGAAGAA